GCTGCCGCCAAAGAGGGCTGAAGAGGCAGGAGCTGTGTGGGGCCTCACTGGGTGTACAGTGTGTGTTTATTTATCCTCCAGCGTCTAAACACCTGCCAGATCTGCCCTCTTGATTCTCGGCTGTGGGTGAATGGATGGCTCAGGTTAGAATGTGTCTTCACTTACACAGACCCAAACCTAACTCAATCAGGTGTCAGCGTATCCTTGTAAATGTTCATGGGTCTCCGAGATTCAGTCCTTAAGACAGCCTTGAGAAGTAAGAAGTAGGGAAATACCCATAATGGCTACAGGGCTGGAGAGAGAGACGTCAGTAAGAGCTTCCTATATCCACAGCAAACCGGCCAGTTCCTCTGCTGTGTTAACCGCTTTGTGACTGATGGAGCATGGGCAGAGGGTGTGTTGGTGGGAGATGCGATACTAATACTAATTAATAAACATGCTTAGGGTCCCTTCTGCTTCTGCTGCTTTTTTTCTTTATTTTTTTTCCAAGTAAGCTGGCATGTTTGATCAACACCAGATTTGCTGCCTGGAAGTTTTTTATTTTGTTGTTCTGAACAAGGACCCTAATTCTTCTTAGGAATAAGAGAACCTCTCTGTTGGGTACACAGCATTCAGTTGGTCTAAGAAAACACAAACCCCACTCAAGTCTCCAGACTTGTTTACACAGAAAACTGAACCTGTGGCTGGCTTAGAGTCTGAAGCCTATTCTGGGCATTGTTTATTGCAATCTGCCCGGATCCCCCGCCCCAACCACCACCACACACATACCTTCAGAATAGAACCCTTCTCTGGGTGAAGGGGGATTGAAACAGGATTGGGGGATCGCAGTACCAGGTCGCACTCAGTGCTGAGGATGGGCATCTTTAATTTGATAAAATGATCGCAGTGAGCTTTTATTCCCAAGTGGCCCAATAAAATGATGGGTGAAATAACCAGGGTCTCCAGCAAACAGAACCCAGCTGTAGTTGTGCGGCCGTGGCTCTGACTATACAACCTGAGCCCAGCCTGGCCACTCGGGTTATTCAGGCTATGAGCCATGCCTGCCCAGGAAAAACAAAACACCCCCCTCTGGGCAGTAATTCCTCTCTCCACTCCTGTCTGATGTATGGGTGCCTGCTAAGCCCTAATGAGCCCCACTTTGTACAGTACATTTGCTGAGACATCAAAAAGTATTTAAAAGAAAGTTTCCTGCTTTTTCCTAATGAGTAAGGTGAGGATTTATGGTGTGTGGGGAGGAGGGAATCTGGCTGCTAGGGCCAACACGGAGGCAAGTCTATTTAACACGCTCTAGCTTAAGCTCCCTCTGCATTTCGGGGGTGCACAGCACTTGGTTGCAGGAGTATAGAGACATGCAGTTAGGGAGTGAAAAAACGCCATTTGGTTCAGAGCAGATGGCTGGCTAGGGAGCTGATGGCGTCTAAAGGCGTGTCATCCCCCTTCAGCCTGAATCCCTAAGGGCTCCCCTTGTCTTCCCAATCAATGAAAATTAAAGTGCAAAGAAAGGATGAATAGTTGGACCTCGAGTCTCTCCTTTGTTCATCCCAGCTACTGGTGTGCAGGAGTTAAACTACAACAGGCTCCTATAGAAACACTGAAGTTAAACAGTCTCCCGTTAGCTCAGCTTTGAAAGGGAGAGGGGAGAGGAGCCAACGTGGGGTAGGGGGCAGAGAGAGAGAGAGAGAAGAGGAAGGAGGAGGAGGAGGAGGAGGAGGAAGAAGGGAGAAGAGGAAGAAGAAAGAAGAGGAAGAACAGGAGGAGGAGGAAAGAGAAGAAAAGGGCTTTCTGCTTGATTTCCCCAATACAGAATCGTGTGGCATAAATTAAGTTGGAAAAGAATGAATGCTTTGGGCAGGATTCTGATGGATTTTACGATGCCTTTCAGTTCCGCTTTGCCGCTGTAATCGAGAAATCTGTGCCGCGTCAATTTAACAAATACTTGATACTGAGGGGGGTTTGTTAAAGATTTGGGGCAAGTCTTTTTTCCCCCGAGGTTTAAGCTCTTGCGCGTGGAACTTTTTATTTCCAGTTTTCTAAACAGGCATTCAAATGAGCCTGTTTCCCACTTCCATTTTCTAATTAAAAGGTTCCTGATATTTCATTTCTTACTGAAATCTACTCTCAGTCTCAGAGGCACAGAGGATTTAGAGCCCACATTCCTTTCTTCCTCTGCATCTCCCCTGCCCCTAAAGCCCTCTCACCTCCCTCCCTCACGGCTCCCTCTCTCTGACACACACACACACCCCAGCTTCCATACTGTAGGCAGCAGAGTTCTCAGAAATTAGCTTTCAGAGGAAACATAGATGTAGTGAAAAGGATGCTGACACTAGGTGGCAAGATTAAATTAGGATTCGCGCTGGCCTAGCCGTGTGGTGATGTCGCCAATCCTCACGGAGTCCGCTAAGGGCAGCCACGCTGGGATTGCCACTGCCATGGGGGTGCAACATCTTTTGAAGCCTCCATTTGTTCTGAACCAAACAGTAGGGGGCCCTGGTGGGGTCCAAGCCTGCCTTTCTCACCTCAGCTTTAAATGTTACATGCAGGTTACTTTCGATTAATTCTTTGCTTCTCTATGAGGCAGCAGAGGAAATCCTAAAATGTTCATAACTGCCGATCCCAAAACTTTACAGGTTTTTGGGAGCCACAGAATCAAGGTTCCGGTTGCCTAATAGCCCGAGGGACAGTCATGGATGACTTCACCCAGTGATTTTTAGATTGCTGTTTATAGTGGTTTTACTTGGTATTTGAGAATTTTCCTTCTTCCTGTGCCTTATATGATACTTTGTGATCTTTATGTCAGCTGCAATGAAAGTCACCTTTTGCCAGGACAGTGGCATTCCCACCAATAAGGCGCTGAGACACACCTGCAGGGAGGCCATGGTGGCAGGGCGCCTTGGGGCTGTGCTGCAATCAAAGTGACATGTACTCCAGCTCTCACACCTTTCATCCCAGTGAAGCTGCCATAGGTGTTGGGGGGAGGCTGAAGGAAGAGCAGACAGAGACTGGAAAGAGCCCTCGCTGTGGGCCCAGCACAAAGTTGGATGCCAGAGTAGGAGTCCATGCCCCACCTTACTTCTTGCACCGTGCCCCAAGCATGAGAGCAATTTAGATAATTCATTGTGTGGTACGTGTGTTCTCGGCCCTCCCAATAAACTCATTTCCCTTTAAAAAAATGAAAACAAAAGTTCTAGTATCTGATGGACGTGTAAAAACCTAATAAGGTGATGTTGTGTAAAGGTTGCGGGTTGGGGGGGCCGGGCTGGAGGGTCTTTAGAACATGTGCCGGACATTGTTGCAGAGGCCGCGGCGCGCGCAGAGGGGAGCTCTTTCTCTCCGCATTGTGCGGGGAGCAGGTGCGGTCTGCATTACCATACAGCTGAGCGCACAAAGAGCCACTGATTCAGCCTCGCACAATAACAGACTGCCTTAATGACAGCCACGCGAACGACACACACCAAACTCACTTTTTACCAAGCGGAGGGAGGCCGAGGGGGAAATACCCAGGAGAGAGGGGCTGGAGACCCAGGAAAGGTGGCGGTGGCAGAGAATCGCGCCGGGAAGGGTGTGTGTGTGTGCGCGTATTGGGAGCGGATGGAGGGGTGGCTGTAGTTTAAGGCGTCAGGATCTCCCCGCCGGGGGGACAGGCAGCTCGGACCCCGCCCTCCCAGCAGCCGCGGATCGATGCGGTGACACTCGCCCCCGGCTCTGCCCTGCGTGCCGGCTCTGCGTCCCCAGACGCACAGTCGCCGTCCTCGGCCGGGAGGTGTATCGGTGTCAGACCTTCCCAAACTTCCCGAAACTGCCGCTGCGCTGTCGCCACCTCTGCCCACTGCTCGCGCCCGCGCCTTCCCACCGTGCCCCGGCCCCCGCCCCCGAGACTCCAGCTTGGGCAGCGGCTGTCCCGGAGAGGGGGCGGCCCGCGGGAACCGGGCCTCTAACTTGGCCCCCGTCCCCGAGCCCGGGACGCGGCCGCGCAGGAGACGGGGGCGCAGCGGCGGCCGGGCAGTTTGCGAGGCCGCGTCCGGCCGCACCAGCCCGGCTGCTCTCGGCGGCGGAGGCGCGGCGCCCCGCGTGTCCCCGGGGCCTCCGCGAGCCTGCGGCCGGGAGGCAACGCGGAGGAGCCGGGGCGGCGGCACCAGCTCCGGGAGCAGAGGGGATTCTCGCGGTGAGCGTTTTGCAGGAATGTAAATGAGCGCGTTTTGTGTCTTAGGGGGAGGAAGGCGGGGGTTGGGGGGGCGGGCTGGGGGCGGGGGCAGGGGGAGGGCCCGGGGCGGGGAAGGGTGGGGGCGGGGAGGAGGGTTGCACATTTTACAGCTCACTGACCATTTGGCGATCCATTGAGAGGAGGGTTTGGAAAAGTGGCTCCTTTGTGACAGCTCTCGCCAGATTGGGGGGCTGCGTATTTGCATCTCATTAGCCATGCGGGCGGCCGGCTGAATATAAGGGCGGCGGCGCCGGCAGAGCCAGGTCCTCGGCGCGCACCCGCGGAGCCCCGGCCGGCCAGGCCCATTCCGCCAAGCACCGGCGCCGAGGCGCAGGGCCTCCGCCCACGACCCGGGCCCCCGGATCCCGTGCGTGTTTACTTGGATGGCGTTGGCTGGGTTCCTCGCGAAGACGCGTATCTCCGCGGTGGCACAGGAGACGCGAATCCGGAGTGTTCCCGGCGCGACCGCCGCCGCCAAGTGACCGGGCCGGGCCGCAAGGCGCGCCGCGCACCCCGAGCGCCCCTCCGCGCGCCCCGCCGGGCTCGGATTATCGCCTCGCCCGTGGGATTTCCAGACCGCGGCTTTCTAACCGGACTCGCAGGGAGCCTCTGCAGCTCTTTGGGAATTAAGCTGAATATCTGGACGCTTTCTCCCTTCCTCCCTCTCTCTCTCCCTTTTTTTTCCTGCGAAAAAGCTTAAGACAAAACCAGGAAGCAGACGACCCTTACCTACTCGTGGATTGGAAGAAAGGAGGAAAACCGAAAGTTGCCGCTGCGGTAGCACTCTCTCCGTGCGAGCCTTTTCCCCGTGCATCCCCAGAGCGGCCGTCAGCGTCTAAGGGCGGATCTAGGGAACCCCGGCCTCCGAAGGAGCCTGGAGCCGGAGCCGGGCTCGGGAAGACCGACGTCCGATTATCCCAGCCTGGGGCCGGGCGGCGGCGCTTCTCTGCCCACGCCCCTGGGGGCGCAGTCACCCCCCTGGCATTCTCCGCTGTCGGGAGAAGAGGAACAGGGGGAGACACGGGAAGAGCGAGCGTATCGAGCGGTCACCATGGGCCGTCGGTGCGCCCTCGCCCTCGCCGTGGTCTCGGCCCTGCTGTGTCAGGTAGGTAGGTTGTTAGGCGGGGTCCCCCGAGGCCTGCTGTCAGTAGGTTGTCAGCAGGGCGTCCCGGAGCCCTGTGGTGTCAGATAGGGGACCCGGGGCGCAGGCCGCGCTCGGGGCAGGGCGCGGGGCAGAGGGGGCGAAGAGCAAGACGGGCGGTGCAAACTGTCAGTCCTTTGGAATCACTTTCGTGCGTCCCGGGAGCGACGACCCGGAGCGCGAAGACGGCCATGCGGGCCCCGCGCGCCCCCGGCCCCCACGCCCGCGCCCCGGCATGGCCGGCGCGCTCACGCAGCCGTCGTTCCTCGGCAGGTCTGGAGCTCCGGGGTGTTCGAGCTGAAGCTGCAGGAGTTCGTCAACAAGAAGGGTCTGCTGGGGAACCGCAACTGCTGCCGCGGGGGCGCGGGGCCGCCGCCGTGCGCCTGCAGGACCTTCTTCCGCGTGTGCCTCAAGCACTACCAGGCCAGCGTGTCCCCCGAGCCGCCCTGCACCTACGGCAGCGCCGTCACTCCGGTGCTGGGCGTCGACTCCTTCAGCCTGCCGGACGGCGCGGGCGCCGACCCCGCCTTCAGCAACCCCATCCGCTTCCCCTTTGGCTTCACCTGGCCGGTGAGCGCGGCACCTGCGGGAGCGGGGCGGGGCGGGGCGGCCGGCTGGCCAGGTGGGAGGGAGGGGCCCGGGCGTCGGTGAGTCCGGCTCGGGGGCACATGGTGGCGGGGGTGGGGGAGGCGCGCACTGGGGGGCGCACGGCGTGGGCGCGCACCAGAGGGAGCCCGGGCAGGTGGGCGCCGGGGTCAGCGGGGCGGCCGCCAGAAGAGCCAGGCCTAAGGCATTAACTCCACGCCCTGGACGGCCCGGTGGGCGGCAGGGGGGTGACAGTCGGGGTAGAGTGAGGCAGAGGCCGAGCGCCCGGGACATTTGCGTGTCTGCCCTCTGTACCTAGCCCCCACGTGGGGAAGTTCTAGTTTCCCTGCCCCTAGATGGGCTGGTTGTGTAGTTACCTTCACAGCGCGGCAGCCCCCTGCCCCCGGGGCCGCCGCATCCCCGGAAGCTTGATGACAGCCCTCTCCGGCCCCGCCTGGTCCCGCGCAGTGTTTTTTTTTTTTTTTTTTTTTTTTTTTTAACGTGATATCCTGTACTAACAGGCTGAAAAAACACCTCGGGAAACCACTCTTTAAAAAGTTCTTCCATTTCCTTAAGGAAAGTGAAAACAGGCGGGAAATGGACAGAGACCCCTCCCTGGGACACATGGACACTCACAGCTGCACCCAGAACGCCTTAGTGACTTGGTTGTCCCGAATGCAAACCTGTCTGGCTCATCTTATGTCTCCCCCTTTCTTCCAGGGTACCTTCTCTCTGATCATTGAAGCTCTCCACACGGATTCCCCTGACGACCTTGCAACAGGTAAAAACAAACCAGAAATCTCCAAAAGTGTGTCAACTGCTTCCCCAGTTAATATGCATCTGACTTCGTAGCTTCCCAGAAACAAACCCCTACATCTTTCATTCTGCACCTCCTCCAGGAGGTTCAGGCCTCCAACCTTGCCGAATGCATCCGTTCCACCTCCCCCACCGTCCCAAGCCTTTAGGCTCTCCATCCTTTTCCCACAGAAAACCCAGAAAGACTCATCAGCCGCCTGGCCACGCAGCGGCACCTGACAGTGGGCGAGGAGTGGTCCCAGGACCTGCACAGCAGCGGCCGCACAGATCTCAAGTACTCCTACCGCTTCGTGTGTGATGAGCACTACTATGGGGAGGGCTGCTCCGTCTTCTGTCGTCCCCGAGATGATGCCTTTGGCCACTTCACCTGTGGGGAGAGAGGGGAGAAAGTCTGCAACCCAGGCTGGAAAGGCCAGTACTGCACTGAACGTGAGTCTCTGTGGGCGGGCACCGCTTCCCTCAGTTTACCCCCTTCCTAGATGGGAGCTCCCAGGGCCTGGGGGAGTAATCCAGGAGCCTCTGGGATCCTGGGATTTTAGCCCTGGGAAGATGTTCTGGTGGGGAAACTGAGGCCAGGGAGCCAGAGAGACTGGCTAAGACCTCACAGTTGGCCAGTGGCAGGGTTGGGGTCAACTCAGAGATTTTAACTTCCGCTATGGGAAGCTGCCTTTCCTAATCAGGGAGGATTTTGGAGCCAGGGCCAGGGGTCAGGAAGTAAGCCTGAGGGAGAGGGAGGGGAGGAAGGAAGGGAGGAACAGAGGGAAGAGTTTGTGTAGGGGCTACTCTGAGCTGAGTGCTCTTTGCTGTGACAGCGTCTCGTTGGAAAGGGCTTCATTTTCTCTCTGGAGTTGGTGAGCTTGGCCTTTCCACAGAGCAAGCGTGTTTGCAAATATTCCACATGATGCACACACACTGTTTATGATGTTTTCACTCGAGGGGTCTGTGGACGCGGGAGAGTGTGTGTTGAGGCCTGGGTCTGCCAGGCCTGCATGGGGAGGGCCCACCTGCCACCTCTTGGGCATCGTCTGCTGTGTGGATGCTCACACAGCCCCTTGCCTGGGAAGGAAATACCTTCACAAGTCACACAGGCCCTGTTGTCATGTTATTTGGGAGTCACCAGGCAGGCAGGGTAGCGGGGCAGGATGCAGGAAGCCGGGGCAGGGGGAGTAGGGGGCTTCTGAGGACCCTGCTGGCTCCGGGGCCTGGTTCAGCTGGGCCCCAGTAGGCCTCAATCCAGCCTGCTGAGGCCTCACTGCCAGCCTGCACACCCAGGTGTCAGATTTTCCTGTAGTTGGGGGCTGAGTGGGTTCTGGAGTTCCCCAGAAAGCCCAGTGAACTTTCCTTCTCCAGCCCTGTCGCAGGCAGACCTCCAGTCCTTCTCTTGTGGGTCCAGAACCTCCTGCCCAGGAGGTGCAGTTTCTCGGTTTTGATTTGTGCCTGGAGGCGAGGGTAGGTCTTCACATCCAGCATCATTGTCGCTCAGCTTTCCAAGAGCGCCTTGAGCACTCCTTCGAGCTCCCTCGAGCTCCGCCTTGGCCTGAGCCAGCTCTGTTGTCTGAAAAACTTGTGGAGCAGCTTGTTAATGAGTTTCATAACCAGGCTAAGGAAACCGGCTGGAAACCTCAGCCTCTAGCCTCCCCACCCCCTCTGGGACCTCTGGCCTGCCTGCTGCCTCCCATCCTGGCTTTCCTCACTCTTCTTCTTCGCTGTGGGGTAGCCATAACCTTAAACTTTTTTCTTCTTATTCAAACACTGGAGTCTCTCCCCCGCCCCCAGCTCGCGCGTGCCATCGATTAGATCTCTCCGGGATAGGCAGCAGGGACGCACGCCCGCTCCCATTGGTGGACAGGGCGCACACACGTGTGTGTGTGTGTGTGTGTGTGTGTGGTGTACACGCTAGGGGTGTGTGTGAGGGTGGGGGCATGGGGGCGAGGGGAGGCCGGTATTGTTGCACTGGGGCAGCTGCTGGGAGAGAGCAGACAATAGAGCAGCTGTCTTGCCCTGGTACTCTGCATACCAGCTGTCCACCCTTATCTACACACACACTTTCTGGGTATTAAGAGGTGGAGCTTTGTGCATAGAATTGGGAAGTGGGGGAGGAGGGGGGGAAGGACTTCTGACCCTCTCTTAGAAGAAAGGGGATGGGCTGGGGGTGGGGGCTTCCGCGGTCTTTTGTCCTTGAGCCCCTGTGTTAAGAAGAATGCTCATCCCATCCCCGGGGCTGAGTGCAGTCCGCAGTTACTAGGCAGGACCGGTCGATACTCCACAGACGGAGATTAACTCAGCTGGGCAAGCTTTGTCCCGGCCACCCCACAGCAGCAGCCCGTTACGTGGCGGCTCTTGGGGTGGGCTTGACCTGTGTCTTCTCTGCTTACAGCCATCTGCTTGCCAGGATGCGATGAGCAGCACGGGTTCTGTGACAGGCCCGGGGAATGCAAGTAAGTTGGCAAAAGTTGCTTTTTTTTCTTCTTTTCCTTTTTGCACCTGGTGTGTTTGTAAAGCATTTCCAGGTGATCATTTGAAAAACTTGGGCAAGATTAGCAGGTGGGGGTCTGGCATTCTGGTGTTTCTACTTAGTTAATACCTGGGAGTGTGTAGGGTCGTGGGTTGACATTCACCTAAGCCCCTCAGTGGTGATGGAAACTTACAGGTGGCGGCTTAAAAAGAGCTGGCACAGAATATGAGAGCGGTTAGTTCAGTGGTTCTCAGACTGTGTGTGTATTAGCATCGCCTGGGGTGGGGGGGGCTCTAGAAATGCTGCCCCAGTTGCCCTCATACCCAGAAGTCAGGCCGTCTGAGGGGGACCCAGACACCAGTGTGTTTAAAGCTCCCAAAGAGATTCCAGTGTTCTGCCTCGATGAGAACCTGCAGTAACGATGCTGCCGGAAGACAGTTCTTGAGAGTGGGCGATGTGTGCTGTGACCCCGGTGATGTCAGTCCCCATCCGACTGTCCTGCTCTCTCCTAAGGTGCAGAGTGGGCTGGCAGGGCCGGTACTGCGACCAGTGCATTCGGTATCCAGGCTGTCTCCACGGCACCTGCCAGCAGCCCTGGCAGTGCAACTGCCAGGAAGGCTGGGGGGGCCTGTTCTGCAACCAGGGTAAGTCTCCCTTCCTCTCCCTTGTGGTCCCGGGCTTCCTTGGCTCTTGGTCCTGAGTCTGAGCCTGAGTGTCCCTTCTCTCTCTGTCCTCACGTCTCCAGACCTGAACTACTGTACGCACCACAAGCCCTGCAAGAATGGGGCCACCTGCACCAACACGGGCCAGGGGAGCTACACCTGCTCCTGTCGGCCAGGGTACACCGGGGCCAACTGCCAGATGGAGATCGATGAGTGCGGCACCAGCCCCTGCAGGAACGGTGGGAGCTGTAGGGTGAGTCCGGGGGCAGGGGCGCTCCTGCTGAGCCAGCTGGGGCCCTGGATACGGACGGTGTGGGTGTCTTGGAGCAACTTTAGAAAGCTGTCTTTTATCTTCTCTGCTACACAGGATCTCGAGAATAGCTATTCTTGTACCTGCCCCCCTGGCTTCTACGGCAGGGTCTGTGAGCTGAGTGCCATGGCGTGTGCCGATGGCCCCTGCTTCAACGGGGGACGGTGCTCAGACAACCCTGAGGGCGGGTACACCTGCCGCTGCCCCGGGGGCTTCTCTGGCTTTAACTGCGAGAAGAAGATGGACGCCTGTACTTCTTCGCCCTGTGCTAATGGTGAGAGGGCAGCCCAGTTGCTCTGAGACTTTGTCAAGTGGTGAACACTGATAAGAAGGCCTTAGAAAGCTCATGAATTTAATTCCAAACCAAGTACATCGCTTTGCAAGCTACCTTGAGTTTATGGAGCCCTCTGATCTGAACAGTCAGAAACTCCTCAGAAGGTGTCCCCTTGAGTCTGGCGATGGCCAGGGTGAGAAAGGCAGGCAGGAGCGTTTATTCTCACGATCCACAGGGAAAGCCTGAGGCGGAGGCGAGATGACTTGCTCGAGGTCACACCGCACCTCAGGCGCCTGGGGCCCGGCCACGTTCAGTGGATCACACGCCAGTGGCAACTCAGCCACTTTGTTTTGGAGGGAAGCCCAGCTCGGCTCTGTCGCCCAAACACAGCCGTCTGGTGCGTCTGCGTGTGAGGAAGGGTGGTCTGTTGATGGGGCCTCCTGCTCCCATACAAATGGGAGGGTTCCCCAAGCAAACTGACAGGGAGGGGAGCTGGGCCCTAGACAGGCCTGGCCACTCTGGAAGCTTCTGGAACCTCACCGCCAGGCAGGATAATCAAGGGAAGCTTTTGCTGGAGAAGCATCGTTTTAGCTCTGCTCTCCGTGTGTGACCGTCCCGGGGGGTCAAGCTCGTCCTCTTGCTTGTGTCCATCCATTGGACCAGTAGAAGCCTCAGCTGCTTTATTTTGGGGAGCAGAGTCTCTGGCGGTTTAGCAGACTTGGCTCTGGAAGGACGAGGACCCCCCTCCCTCCCTTTCCTTCCTTCCTTCCTCTTTCTCTGTTCTCAGTCCCCGCTCTTCTCACTGACTATAACTGAGGGCGAGCATGGCAGCCTCCTCAAGCCTCAGTCTCCTCATCTGTGAACTGGGTCCTCTGTCGAGTGTCGCGAAGAGAAACACAGTCATGCAGGCAAAGTGTTTGCACAGAGCCTGTCATGACATCTCTGCTTGGGAGATGTCAGCCTGTGTTTTTTATGATTTATCGAGCTAGACCAGACTCCTCCCAATGGGCTCACGTTTGCGGGAACAGGATATGTTGCCTTGAGCTGTGACCTTGTTCAGGCCACGGGCTATGTGGTGGTCCCGTGTCCTGGTGCGTCTGGGGGCGCTCACGGCAGTGGCCGCCCACAGCAGATGCCTCCAGATGTTGCTGCGTGACGAGCGGATGCTCATGTCCTGTGTTCCAGGTGCCCAGTGTGTGGACCTCGGTGACGCCTACCTGTGCCGCTGCCAGGCCGGCTTCTCCGGGAGGCACTGCGACAACAACGTGGACGACTGTGCCTCCTCCCCATGTGCCAACGGGGGTACCTGCCGGGATGGCGTGAACGAGTACTCTTGCACCTGTCCGCCCGGCTACACGGGCAGGAACTGCAGCGCCCCCGTCAGCAGGTGCGAGCACGCTCCCTGCCACAACGGGGCCACCTGCCACGAGAGGGACCGCCGCTACCTGTGCGAGTGCGCCCGCGGCTACGGGGGCCCCAACTGCCAGTTCCTGCTCCCCGAGCCGCCCCCGGGCCCTGTGGTGGTGGACCTCACAGAGAAGTATGTGGAGGGGCAGCCCGGGCCGTTCCCCTGGGCGGCCGTCTGTGCCGGCGTCGTGCTCGTCCTCATGCTGCTGCTGGGCTGTGCCGCCGTGGTGGTCTGCGTGCGACTGAGGCTGCAGAAGCACCGGCCCCCCGCTGACCCCTGCCGGGGGGAGACGGAGACCATGAACAACCTGGCCAACTGCCAGCGCGAGAAGGACATCTCCGTCAGCGTTATCGGGGCCACGCAGGTCAAAAACACCAACAAGAAGGCCGACTTCCACAGGGACCACGGTGGCGCCGAGCAAGACGGCCTCAAGGCCCGCTATCCCACCGTGGATTACAACCTGGTGCAGGACCTCAAGGGCGATGACACCAGCATCAGGGACCCTCACAGCAAGCGTGATACCAAGTGCCAGCCCCAGGGCTCCGCGGGGGAGGAGAAGGGCACCCCGACGCTCAGGGGGTGCGTGCTGCGGGCCGAGAGGGGACACGTGGGAGGGCCAGCTGGGCAGGGCGCCTGGACCCCCATGGGTGCTGCTGGCTGGGCGGGGGGCCAGCTGGGTGTCTTCCTCCAAGCTTTGGTCATTTCCTGTTCGGAACTCTGTGCACGAGTTGATTGTATTGCATTTCATTTTCCTTTCAGTGGAGAAGCATCAGAAAGAAAAAGGCCAGACTCTGTATATTCCACTTCGAAAGACACGAAGTACCAGTCGGTGTACGTCATATCAGAGGAGAAGGACGAGTGCGTCATAGCGACTGAGGTCAGTGTGCGTGGAGGGCCCGCTGCCCCGGGTCTGCCGGGGCCGGAGCGGGTGGAGCAGTCCGATCTATTCGTCCCCACCCCGAACTAACTTCCCGTTCTGTCTGGCGGGCCCTTCTAGGTGTAAAATGGAAGTGAGATGGCAAAATTCCCGTTTCTCTTAAAATAAATAAAATTCCAAGTCTATATGCCCCAATGAATGCTGCTGAAAGAGGAAAGGGAGACCCCTTCAAGGACTGCTGCTGAGAAACTAAATTCAGACTGAGCTGGTTCTCTTCCTGAAGTTAGCAAGTGACGTGACGAGCGGGCTGCGGGCCCAGCGAGTATCGGAGGCGGCTTGTGCTGTCTCCTAGATGTTCCCATTGCACTATGGACAGTTGCTCTTTAAAAATTATATATTTAAATGAATGGACTTAAGTTCTGCATAAGAAGCATGCACTGCCTGAAGTGTATATTTTGGATTCTTATGAGCCAGTCTTTTCTTGAATTAGAATCACAAACACTGCCTTTATCGTCCTTTTTGATACTAAAATGTGTTTTTTTCTAGGTGGAAAAAAAATGTGTGTTATTTTTTGGACTTGTAAAAATATTTTTCATGATATCTGTAAAGCTTGAGTATTTTGTGATGTTCATTTTTTATAATTTAAATTTTTGGTAAATATGTACAAAGGCACTTCGGGTCTATGTGACTATATTTTTTTGTATATAAATGTATTTATGGAATATTGTGCAAATGTTATTTGAGTTTTTTACTGTTTTGTTAATGAAGAAATTCCTTTTTAAAATATTTTTCCAAAATAAATATTATGAATGACGAGCAGAGTGTACTGACTCACCATCCCTCAGAGCCGACTTGCGTTTGCTTGCTCCCTCGTTGAACGAGGCTTGGAGGGCAGAGGTGACCGCTGCTTTTCCATTTCTGACGTTCTCACCTGGGCTCATTGGATTGATTAAAAGAACTTTCCTCGCTCCTCTGCCTGCTTCAGAGAACCCTCCAAAGTCATTCTCAGGACAATGTAAGGAGCAGGCAGAGTTGCCGGTGGTTGGTTTCTGGAGCAGCCTCCTCAGCTCCCTGGGGATCCGCACTAAGGCACGCTTGACTCGATGTCCCCTTTGACGGGTGCCGAGAGCCCTCAGAGCTGGCCATTACGGGCAGGAACAAAGCCTCACTTGAGGCGCTGTTACATTGCTGTGGCAAAGGCTTTTTGTCTTGGAATAACACTTACTCATTCGTTGGTGAGTTTATTTCTAGTTAATTCGCAACAGTTAGTTGGCTTCTACCTCAGCCACAGCTGTGGTGGGACAGATGCTAGTGAGCAGCCAATGCTCTTTTATTGAGCTCTCACTATGTGCCAAGCCTGGATGAACCACTCTGCGTGGATTATCTCATTAGCCCTGGCGGCGATCGCTTGAGATGGTGTTATTGTTACTCCCACCTTAGAGTTGGGGGAACGGAGGCTTGAAGACGTGGAGTTATCTGCTCAGGGCTCCTAGGAGGCAGAGTCAGTGTTCAAATCTGGGCAGTCTGGCTCCAGACCCCAGTTTAATCATTAGTCATTGTTGGTCAGAAACTCAGCATCTTACTGAGAACAAGACTCAGGGGTTTGATGGACCCCCTCACTGGTGCGATTTGGTGGTTCCTCAGGATGGGTGAAGATCATCAGCTCTCTAAGATGACAAGTCCTGGTTGAAAGAGGGGGTTTATTTCCGGGGCTGGAGAGGAGCAGAGAGAGGGACAGAACTTCTGGGCCTAATTAATTAAGGGGGAGGGTAAGGAACGGTTTGTCCCACTGGTCCTCATTGCACAGTCAGAAGTTCTGGAATCTTCCTGAGGAGGAGAGGTGAGGCATGCATGTGCCCAAGTCCACATGCCCGTCTCGTGTGCATGAATGATGGGGAGACGTGTGTGTGGAGGTGAGACTGACAGGACAATACGTAGGGATCAGACCCCACACGCTAAGCCCCGGGACAGCCCTGCTGGTGCTTCTGTGTCTGAGGCACAACGATCCATCCTGATCCCTCTGGTCACCCTGGCTGTGATTCTGGAATAAATGCTCAAAGAGAAGGACTCCAGTGGAGCGATTCCATCCATGGAAAGAAGTCAGCAGCGGGGCCAAGGTGTGGGTGGGGAGACCGAGGCTTTGAAACCACCTCCATCCTCAAGCTGCCCCCTGCTTTTTTTTAAAGGGTTATTCTAGAATAACTGAGGGAGTTGCAACATTTCTTCCAATTGTCTACAGGATCTGGAGAAAGAGAAGGGTGACCTTATGCTGATTTACCTTGTCAGCCTGGAATAATTATTAATAGCTCGCTTTCACTTTTGGAAGTGACTGGACTTTGATGATCACTAAATGGCTCATCATTTTCAAGAATATGGAATCTGCTGGGTTCTTGTGAAGACCACCCCATGAGACAGCCTTGAAGGACTTACGTAGATCTTTAAAATACTTAAGATCTTTAAAGATCATCTCACTTGCACCTTCCCCAACCATCTTGTAAAATCAGGGAATAAATTCGTCTTTCATCTGGGCTGAGCAAGTCACGTGCTTAAGGAGCAAATCAGAGACGTCAGGCTTGGAGCTTTGTGTTCCCAGCACCCTGAGTCTCTTCTGAGACTGATGCCGTGATTTGGCTTTTAATCAGATGGTCTCTCCGCTTTCAGGGTTTTATGTCAATTCCACCGAGAAATTCAGGTACACTGATCAAAAACAGCCATATAAAAACATGGGCATTCATAGACCAGCTGTGGTTCACCACGCCAAGCAATGCCCAGCAGGGTCAGCCTTCCGTCATAATCTCCAGGTTCACCACTAGGCGTCAGGAAGGAAGGAACAGCAATGCACTGGAAACAACGAGGGAAAACAGCAGATCCTTTAGCAGGAGGGGTGCTGGTGCTGTGTTCCGAGAAGGGTTCTGAGCGCAGCTAAGGGCCAGCGTGGCAAGAAAGGGCTTGTGTGACCCCCTTCCTCCCATTCATGCCCAGGACCCACCCCCAGCTCCTTGGAGCTTCAGGGAGACCAGTGAGGAAGGTGAGGCACACACATTTTTCCTTAGATTCTTTCCTTTAACTTTTTGTTCGGACAAAATTTTGGACTTCCAGAAATGCTGCAAGAATAGTGCCAAGAATTCTCACTATCACAGTGGCTGTCTGGCCATCATCCCTTCTTATCTATCCGTTGGCTTCCTACAGTAAGGACGACTGTTCTCTTCCTGTTCACATTGGTGTGGACTCTGGAAGGATCTTTCATTCAGGGGGTCACAGTCTGCTTCTACTGTTATTTTGATGCTTGACTCTCCCAGACTCCAGCGGTGCCCCTTCTCTGCCTCCTTCCACTCCACAGGTCCCCTGCTGTCAGAGCACGTCACACTTTCAGGCTCCACCAGCCTCCAGGCCCTTTGCTGCTCTGCAATCAACCTTTTTTCCAGTAAGCCTGGCTCCTTTATTGGAGAACGGCAGCCACTGTGTTTCTAATTTTGCGTGTTTGTGAATCGCAAAGTGATGAGCAATTACCAAGATGTCAACAAGGTAACCTCTGTAGAAACCCAAAGAGATGCTCGGTGCGTGTGTTTATTCACGCCTTCAGATGTGACTCCAAGTGTGCGCTTTACACTGGTTGGGTGGAGCACACTAAACAGACAGGCCAACAACGTCATTGGAAGAGTATTTTTTTCTTTTTAAGTTGTGCTTTTTGGTGAGGAAGATTGGCCCTGAGCTAACATCTGTTGCCAATCTTCCTCTTATTTTCTTTCTCCCAAATCCCCAGTACATAGTTGTATATCCTAGTTGTAAGTCCTTCTAGTTCTTTTATGTGGAACGCTGCCTCAGCACGGCCTGATGAGCAGTGTGTAGGGTCCATGCCCTGGATCCAAACATAAAAAGTGGAGCATGTGAACTTAACCACTATGCCACGGGGCCAGCCCCATTTATGAGGTATTTTTGCAAAGAATATTGAAGTTGGATCTGATCAGACCTTCAGATCTAGTTACCAGTTTACAGGATTATGGAGGATGGAAGGACGTGGTCAGGACACCACAGATCTACTCAGCCAAATCCAGGGAACTTGGTGCAAAGGAAAAGGAAAGAGATGGGGGACCCACAGATTGGAAGAGACTTAGACAGTTAAAAAATAGTCAAAAAGTTCATGAGCCAACTGGAGAGAGGTAACAATGATTGGGTTGTTTAATGATACGGATGTATGCCTGTTAAATTTTTTAGATGTGAGAGATTATTACTGTTAAGTTAAAAAAGAGTCCTTAACTTTTAGAGCAAAATTCTGAAATATATATCAATGAAACAATATTATGTCTGGGATTTGCTTCAAAATAACCCGAGATGGAGGCAAGGGGGTGGGGTGCAGGGCCACCAGCTGACAACCGTTGAACAGGATGCTAGGTGCATGGTGAGTTGATTTTACTATTCTCTCCTCTTTTGTATATGTTTGAAACTTTCCATAAGCAAAAGCATTAAGATGAATTACACAGTGAATAGACACACACACACACACGATGTAATTTACTGGTGTGTATGTAATGCTGGTCTACTAGATGGCGTATATACAGCATAGTGGATTTTGGGGAGCTTTTCCATCGTTGCATCAGACTGAAACCAAGCAAATCAAATGGGTCAAGACACAGACTGGCTGGGTGGGAGCTTTGGTGCCAGAGTCTTGGGGTCAGGTCCAGGCTGTGCTGAGTTGGCCAGTCACTCGGGTGATTATTAACTCCACTAAACCTCTGAAAGGGAGAGAGTAGTGGTCTCTATTGCACAGCGTTGCAAGGACCTCATTCTCCACGTTGCTACCAGAGGCTTTCCAAAGCACAAATCTGCGCAGGTTTTCCCTGCTCAGAACTAGCTAACGGCTTCTGAGTGTTTTTAGCATAAAGTTCAAAACCCTCAACTCGGTCTGTCAGGCCTTTGTGTCATCTGGCTCCTGACTGTCTTTCTGCCTTGTTTCGTGTTATCCTCCCAACTGCACCTTCGCTCACAGCTCCAGCCACACTGGCTGTTGGCACAGGGCTCTCTACTTCTCCCTGATTGCGAGACTCTGCAGGTGATCCTTCATCCGCTGGATGGTCTGCACTCACTCTGGCCAACCCTCCTTGAAATGCAGCTTTAGAGAAGCCCTCTCCGGACCTCCCAGACGGCGATCCTGCTCTACGTTACAAAGCTCTCGTGGCAGCTTGCCTGTGCCCTAATTAACGCGTGCAGTTATTTAAGGTCTGTGCATCCCGGGAGACTACAGCCTCCCAGAGGGCAGGCCCAGGCAGCTCTTGTCCTCGATGCATCCAGTCCCAGCTAGGGCGGGGGCCAGAGAGGGTCCCTAACAGGTGTGAGCTGCAGTCTGAGAGCACGCACACACACACAGGAGGGAAACATGTAAAAGTGTGTAAGGACGTTGATCTCGAAAGAAGTTCTGTTCAGATCTTCACTCTTACCAAGGTCACTAGTAGTTTTGGACCATAACGTGCAGCCAAACATAGACATTATCAAGAGGAAAACCACATTATTTTGTTTTTATTCTAATAAATAAATGGTCACGTAGACACAAAGTGTCTGTGAGGATGTGTTTGTTTGGTATCCAGCAAACTAAGCCACATGCAGTTAGTAACTTCTCCACGTATGAATTTTGTAAAAAAGCTATCAGGAAGTTAAACAGTTTTCCTAAAGAGCAGCCGAGTGTCTGCAGAAACGTCAAGATGAAGAGCAGCATTTCAAATGCGGGAAGAAGTGCAGTGAGCCAGGGACCTCGACTATGGGGTGCACAGAGTATGTTCCCGTTGAATGCAGTGCCTCACACGGCAAGTTCAGACACCAGA